ATGTTGCAACATATTTCTATAATTTTCCTCATTAATTTCAATTATTAAGCTGAACAACCTCCGACGAACAATCCTTATGTTGAAAACATCCGGCTTGTGTTTAAATCAAAGAATCAAATAACGGTTTTTATCTGTCAAAGTAGCGTCAAATTCTTCTTTTTGTGTTAAGCCGCTAGGTTTTAGCTACACAATGGCAGAAATCATCTGTTTATAGGGATGTGCCGCATGCGCGTACCTTCAACATTCCGACTCATCAATCGTTAATTCGTAAAAGTTAAAATTTTAAGAATTAAGTTACGTTTCTGAATTAAGGACTTGGGTAAACGGTCGCATTTAACCACGCGGAATTAACTTGGATTTTATGAATTATGTAAGGGATTAAGAATGAAGAATAAAATTACGACGTTGGGTAATCCAGCACTAAGCAAATAAGTTAGTCTTGAACTCTTGTGCTAAACAAAATTGATGCCAACCTAAAAAATATGACTTTGGCTACACTGTAGCTCACTATATGTATTGCTGGACTTATATTATTAATATTAAAAGTCCTTCAATAGTTTACATTAAAAAATTGCTACCAGGGAGAAATTTCCTTTCCAATGATTTGCGTTCGAAGAATTAAAGCATTGTATTATTAACTATGAAAGCTCTCTTTGGAAATACCGAAGAATTTCTACATAAAAATGTTAGCTAGAATATGCAACGAAATTTAGTGTGAGGCAATTGTTAATAGAAAAGCACCAAAAATGTACAATATGAGGTTGTAAAACTAGTAAATACCATATCATTTCTCCCAATCAAATTATTGTTGTTGACATTATTAACCAAACTTTTACATAAAGTTGCATATTTGATCAATTTGTACTGGCCGATTTCTTATAATTGCATAAAAAATTATATTGTACAAAAAACCGGCATATCGAAAAACTATTCTAAGTATACTATGTAACAAAGACTACATTTACTTAATCTATGAACCAGATCGATAAAATAATCTGTTTTCTATCTACTGAAATAAAAAATATTGATATTTGTATTATACATTTGTTTGATAGGACCATATTTTACCTATACCTATATTTGAAGTAAAGCAATAAGTAATTCTTAATTGAATAATTTGAATTAATAGCAATATTTGAACTAAATGTATTTTTATCATAAAACTGGCAACTTGTCCGGCTGCAGAAGGATCTAAGTTGTCCCTAGATGTAAGTTCTCTTAGTTTTGGATGCCTCAAATGACTTTGTCGGTATTTCCGGATCGCTTTAATAGCAAAAATGCTGTATAACGATGCGTTTGGTTAATTTGACATCAAACCAAATTGAATTGATCACAGCTTAAAGTAAAATTAAGATCTTGTAAGCAAAATTTAGATCGAAGTCTGTACAAAATTCAAATTGGAAGATTGTAATTGTGAACCCAATCAGCTGTTTTCGCAAGGGCTGATTTCTTCATCTCAATCTGCAGAAATTGCTAGCCAAATTCTACTATCTTTTGCATTATTTTGTTTGCGGTTTCTTTCAGAAATATAGCTAATCCGTACCTTCACGATTATACACAAAAGTTTAAGTTTGGCTTCAGAGCCGTTTCAAGTACATATTCGTTGCAGCATTACAGCCTTTAGTTGAAATGGCATCATTTCCATAATTCATAAAAAGTTTGCAAACAAGCGCTTCGAATTATCTAAAAGTTTTACAGTCAAGCTTATTTTCAAACTAAATTGCTTTCGAATTTAATTTCAGTTGTTTATTATTTGTGTCTTTATTTTGTTCGTTTATTAACTAAACCCAATAATTACCATTGATATTTCATTATTATTAATACGAGATGTTGTTTAATTTGAAACTAACTGCTGTTTAAAATGAAACTCCTCAATATACTTCATACTTACGACATCAGTAATCTAAAGTATCATTTCAAACATGATTTAATGTCCAACCGCTTTTCGTTTCATTTCTAATCTGGCATAAAAGAAATAATTAGCGCATCACGGCTTTATAGAAAAGCAGCGTTTTGAATAAGGTTTTTATTATTTATCATATTTGTTTGTTTTTACTAAGTTCGTGAATAATCACCAAGATTCATAAAATGCCTAAATTAAATACACTACTGTTAGCCCAAAAAGAATTGATGTGAACGTCCAGATTTCTTGCCAAAGCTTCTGCGAGAATAAATTATCTTTAAATCAAGCTCATAGACTACTATTTAGAAATAGTGTTACCTGGTTTCAACATCATCGACCGATGATCGGCTATTTACCCAAGACATGTAAATTTGATGCCAACCGTGAAACCAATTTACACAGAATATCCAACAGATTTTCGTGGCTTTCGGGCAATTATTCAACTCTTTAGCTTTCTACCTGGTCATGTTTAACGTCAAAAATAACACTTTGTATCTAAACATTATTCTAATATTGACATGCCTTTCGTGTAGCATCGTTTCAAGCCTGGAGCGATGTACCCACGTATTTTTCATGTAAAAGATCTCAGTTTTGTGCCCGTATTTGTGAGTAGTTTTTCTTTGTGTAGCCTGGACGTCTAGCATTCGAAGGAAATATTGACTCTGGCTTAAAGGATTTGTAAATACTACAAACACACTGAGCCTATGTGAAATTAATGTGTTTGGAAGCTTAACTTAACAGAACGAATCAATTTATATGTGTTTATATTTTCTATTGATTGGGCCTTTAATAGGATCATGTTTATTTAAATTACCTCACGTTTGATATCAAATACCGCGTTATTGCAGCCTGTTTAAAATAGAGTTTCTATGGAACCATTTCAATTTTTTAATTCAAGGCTATTCTTAAAATTGATTATGGTAATTGGAATTTAAACTACTACAATCATAGTAGGTTGATTTGATTGGGAAAGTAGTACCTATTCACGTTCAGCCACTTAATGCTATTATAAATAAATTTAGTTTAACGTTTCTATAATTTAGGAGTTTATGTCTACATATATCAGAACGGATAATCACATTCAGATTTTCATGTTTAGCAACGCGAAGAAACTACAGCAGATTTTGAATAACAATTTATTTCAACATAATTATTAAGCGAATAGGCAGACTAAATGTGCATGCAAATTTAATAAAAATTGCATAACAAATACCGTACATGACAATTACAATTAGACTACCGAAAACAACAAATTATCGCCACACAGTTTTGCATAATAATTCTGTTTATATTAAGTTGTCGATTCCAATATTCAACACCATAAGGTCCTATTGCTGTTAATGACATTTGAATTAACATTTAATGGTCCAAAATGGTGCTGCACAATTTAATGATTAAACTTTATTCATTGTCATATCTGCGTTATTTCCATTGTAAATGATTATTAAAAGAAAATTTTGCTGCTTTTGTATATTTATAATATTTTTTTGGTTGTCGTAATTTCCGAGCTATCCATCATAGCCAAACTGAGAAAACATGTAACTAGTTTGCAAAAAGGCAAATTTCATGGCTGTCCTCTGTACAAAGCTGTACAACGTTGAAGGAAGCAATAAAATTATGTTATTTGCTGTTTTTATCGGCAGAAAGCAACTAACTGCAAATCACAGACATATTCAGCATAAAACGTTTGTCACTTGGTAATCTTGGTATGCTTTAATCTTAAACGCTATTGCTCAGAACACCTTATTTATTTATCATTAGAATAACCACAGTAAGCGTTAACAGCAACCAAATACCATCAGTTAATCTTGAAAATGGTCTTACTAGTTGCCCCTTGCCCAATGGAATGTTAATTTTTCGGTTGTACACAAAGTTTATTAATTTAGTTTAAGTTCTTATTTGAACAATGTGTGATGCGTCCTGTTTTAAGAAAAAACTCAATAAAATATTGCACACATTACTAAATTTGCAATAAATGTAGTAATGCAGTCAACCATAAATTAGTCTAAAAACTCCATAATTTTTACCAATATCTATCTAAATAGGAAGCATCTTTAAGGCGAATTTAAGGGTTGAAATTTTTCAATTAAGCTGCTTTAATCGGTTAGCTGTCATTTAACAGTGAATATTGAACACATTTAACCCATCAAAAGTTAATAGGTCTCAAACGGGTAATGCTGTGTTTCCAACTCCTTATTCAGAAAGTAACGAGATAATTATAGATTATTCAGATTTTATTTTCGATACTTTCGTAAAAAAATATCAAAGCCAGATACTGATGAATGAATTAATTGAATATAAGTTACGATCGATGATTAGGAACAGGTTCTTTCTTTCTCTAGAGTCTTTCTCTATTCTCATTTTTTAGTTATCATTAATATTCTGTCGTGACCCATTGACGGGTTTTCGGTACGAATTCAAAAACTAGGGGGAAATCACATATTTATTCGGATTTTCAAAAAGTTCAGTAACCTGTTTTCCACCTTAAACATTGGACTCTCTCAAATTAGGTCTCCTGGAAAGTCAAAAAAAGTAGATGGTCAAGCTGTATTTTCTAAATCAACTGATTCGTCTTATTAATATATTTTTTCTTTCTCCCAATCTTCGGCTTCCTGTTCCTTAAATTCAGTAAGTGTCGAACGAGTAATAATTAATTTATTTGTTGTTTGATGCTCGGTTGGTTTGTTTTTACGTTCAACATATTTTCATATGCGCCACTTTTGTTTGGTTTCCTCTCACTGAATTGAGCTTTCAGATTTTTGCAACACAACGCTTTTAAAAGTGTGATTTATCTCTAGAACGGCAAAGAAATGGTTCAGTACCACATCTAGGTTGCACTTGTGAGTAACTTTTAAACATCTTCTTTAGCAGTCATTTAGTTTTTGCAAATAGGGAGTTTAATTTGTCAAGCTATTATTTCATGTTGTTAACTCTTTATTTTGGATTGTTAAACAGGAATCAGTTTTCACAATAGCAACAATCCCATTTTTCTTCTTAGCTGGGCTTTATTTAATATGAACCAACTAATATTTTTTTGCTAAATCATACATTTTTCTGGCAGCTCAACTAATTGTCTCATTAATAATTTTTGTTGCAGATTTTTTAATTCCGGACACATGATCAGTCTAATTAAAAGGGTGAGTTTGAATGAATTTTCAGTTAAATTTTCAGCACCATTAATACTGCATAACATGTTTGTCCGACTATGAAATTCCAAATATTTGTTCTGTTTGAGTATATTTAATTTGATTTTAGTTCACTTAGGTTTAGGAACTTAGGAGTTAAAAATAAAAAAAATTCAATATTTCGAATGATTGAAAATTAATGTTAGTTTTCTGCAGTACTAAGAAAATGTTGTAGGTAATTAACGAAAAACCGAAAATCAACTTCAAAATTAGAAGTCGGTCAGAAATATTTTTAAAGGCGCAAAAGCTAAATACATACACTTCCTAGTAATTTTTAATGTATTTCGGCCATTTACTAAGGCTTTCAGACGGTTTTCCAACTTTATGGCTTAATGGCTAAATAGAAACACCTTATGAATTTGAAATTTGAAAAACTTTAAAAGAACAAATGAATTTTAACTACAAATAAAACTCAACAAAGGCTTGCCAATCCAAATCACGCTTTAAAATATTGTCTGGCAACAAATTAATAATCCTTTTGTTGGGTAATTCCAAGAAGCCGTATAATCCATTCTCACTAATTATTATGAAACAAAAAAGGCCCGTAATTACAAGTATATTACAAAAACTTATCGTGCATCTATTAAAAGGAACGGGCTGCATACAAATTAGTTTTAAGCAGGACCGCACCTCGAAAACTATTTTGCGAATTATTTTCTATCTAAACAGTTTGGAGGATTAACTCGAGGCGGTTAAATATAAGGTGAACTCTAATTTGGAGTTCTACATTGTTTTATTTGAACTTATTAGCGCTGTAGGTACATTACTTATTGAAATGGAATAGTTCTGGTTTCTAGATAATGTTTCAGTAAGCTGAAAATCGAATGGAAATAATGCCCACATCTCTAGCTTGCCTTTTTATTTATGAAATTATTAATAGGTATGCACTTGTTTTATTTGTACAGGCAATTATGTATTTTTTATTAGCTGAATGTAATTTATCAGTTCAGCATGGAAACGCGAAAAGATTTACAAGGTTTACTCTCACCTGGCTATATCGTTCCAAAACAGGAAAAAGCAATTTGCAAAACGGTAGTATAATTTTCCTTAAAAATACATCATTGATATGCCTAAGTATTGTTTAACTGCCTCAAACAACCGTTTTACCTGAGCATAAGGGTCACGTTTTACCTAATAGCAATTAACTGCTTGATATCACCAATCACTAATGCTACTTTCGCAAGCAGGGCAAATATTTCCAATTAATAAAACCGTAATAAAATAAGCTTCAATATAAGAAGAAATGCTTCCCAGACAGTAATAATCGACTGGGCTGTGAGGAAGTGCGTTTGAAAATCCCGATAATTGATTGGGTATTCATGTAATAATGTAGCTGATATAAATAAATGAGAAACACGATGGCGACTATCAACGGTAGCATATAATTTGATACCGAAGCAAACCATATAAAATGATGGGGTCTGGTGATTTCAGCCAAATGGTAGATTCGAATGATATGAAAATAATGCTGACGAATGATATATTAGATCCGAAATGTTGGGGATACGGGCTTTATTATAACGGTCACAGTTATCAGTTTTTTTGGAAATGTCTTTATTAATTAAAGATTAAAGTGTAGCTGTTAGTTAATAGTTTCGTTTTTTGTTAACTGTAAAGTTAAATAATTGCATTTAATGTTAAATGAAAAGCAAAGGTGGCAAAGCATTCGCTTTCAACCGATATTTTTCCATTTGTCTATTCGAGATATGCGCTACATTTACACCCATTAACGTGCCTTTCGATCCATATTTTGTCAGCGATCATTTCAAATTAACATCAAATCGAATAAAATGATTGCTGGCTGAAATTTTGCCACATTTTCAGTTGGCGATTTATGTTTTCTATAGGTATTATTGCAGCCTCAGAATAATTTCATGTTATTTGGTATTTTCAAATTCCAAGTAATTTAAAAATTAATACTCCCAGTATTCATTTTGTGTAACAAGCTTTAAAATCAGAATTACTTGCAATATCTTTCAGAATATTTTTTACATACCATACATAGATTGTACGTCTGAGGTCTTAACACTTGAAGAAAGAACACCATTTATGTTTAGCACAAAGAAAGTGTTCATCAATGTTCACGTAGAAAACATGTCTCTAAGAAACGGAAGTTGCTTAGTGAACTACAGAAATACACAGTAAACTAAAGAAAAAGAACAGACACTTTATTGAACAGGTGATTAATTTGATAATGTTAATTTAAAATATCAGTGAATGGACGCGGATTTCCAAATCTGCATGGCACTCTAAATTAAAAATAAACAACCAATACTGGAACAACCAGTAATTGACTTAAGTAAACAATATATTATTTAAATTGACTCCTACTTTACAATTATCCATACTAAAAAATCGGTGAACAAACGTTTTTAAATGGCTAGAATAAATAATAAGTAAATTATTTTCTTGTCATCTACTTCTGCTTATACGTTCCTAAACCTATACTAATGTTTGTATAATGACAGATTGGATAAATCTATTGTAAGCATTTATCCATAATTTACGTCGAGGGGCAACATTAATACGATGTGTGTTTGCTAAACATGCCTGATACATAAATATGGTTTAACCTATATTTACCCAATGAGGTAGATGTTTGGATCAAGGAATTCTGGAGGAAAACCAAGCACCAAAATTATTTATATCCAGTGTGAACAGATGGTATTTCAAAATATTTGCGAGATGCAGAAAAGGGCAATTGGGAATTTTTGTGAAGACTCGAACTACGAGTGATATTATTACGATGTATTTTATTCACGTTTTTGCCTATAATATCCATTGCATCATCAATAACATTACATTTATCCAAGGTTTTTAACTGAAGAAATTACCATGACCCTCTGCCAATGTGCACTTCTCACATATGTCTGGTCGTTTGCAAACATACAGAACCACTTAACAAAGAAAGAATTAATAATGAAATCATTTTCCTGAATTTCAATTAACAAAACCGTAGGTAAACAGGCGAAAAAAGAGACGCAGACTTGCAAGTGGGTTGGTGTTGTTATTGAAAGGCCGAGTGAAACCCACCTAGTACCAACTTTACGGAATAATAATTAGCCAAGGATTCATTTTTGCATTTAAAATTATGTTTGCTGAGATTTACGCCAGCATGGCTTGTGATTTACTTTCAGTTTAAGCTTGAAACTGTGATGCAGTTCGGCAGAACGTTCAATTTGCTTTTTAATGGCCGAACGGGATTTAATTAAATGGCATAGTTAGCCTCGCCCGCAAGTAATCATGTGGTGCTGCTGTACATTAAAAATGAAAACATTTATTAATTTACTGCCAGGTTAAGGGAATTATGAGACCATCATAGATTAGCAATGTAAATACCTGATATAACAAAGAGTTGTGGGAAAATACGTCCTAAAATGATTCAATCATGTTTGTGTGCTTCAACTAATTGATTGATGAATCACTCCATAATAATTAAATAATTATGTTTTTGAAAAGTTGCAATTTTTACATGATTTAGAGAAAAGTGTCTAATGAAGCCAACTGATATCATTGCCAGCATCCTGTGCATTTTATATTAAACTTGATTAAAGTCCTTAATATCAGTCTAAATATATCATTTCCGTTGTGGCAAGTTTAGTTTCTAGACAAAGGAAAAGTTAAGTTCAATTTTCTTCACTTAATATGATCTTCGTATGTTTTTGGGTGTTGCAATGAATGCCAAAAATAGCAGAGTTAATTCTTAAACATGTCAACCTTTTTATTTATTGCTGTGTGTAACATGTTATTGTTACACGTTATTCAAAATCAAGATATTTAGATAGATATTTCGAAGATTTGGTATTAGAGTTATTTAATATTAACCATAGCAATCATCATTTCATTCGAAAAGTGTTTGATATGACTACCAAAAGTCTTACTGTATATACTGAAACAACTATAATGTAATTCAGCATTTTTTTCACGTTCACACATACTAATAGAGCAACTGATACAGTAACTACAAGACTCGGGCGTAACCTAAATATGTTTGCTTTCAGCACTCTAATTTCACAAGAGTCTGAAATGTTTCAATCTAGATTTATACATTGCAATCTTTTCCAAGATCAGTTAAATTAACTATGGGGTATGTAGCTTCTCTGATCTTCCTTCGCTTCCATCTGTTGTCTGCCATTCTCCCAATATGTCCCACCCAGTTCCACGTTAGTGCACATATTTTTCTACATCTTTAACTTTTGATTTTCTTCTTATTTCTGTGTTAGTAATGCGGTCTTGTAGTTTGATGTTTAGGATTCATTTTTCCATGGCTCGCTGTGTTACTTGTAATCTGTTTATAATATTCTTGTTTCGTGCCCAGGTCTCTGTTCCATAAGTGAGAACCAGTAGGACATACTGGTTGAGAACTCTTGCTTTTATTCTATTTTACTTACTTAATACTTTCTTTTTATTGTACTCAGAGTGTTATGTCGTACTTATTTACCTTTTCCGATGACATATTCAAAAGCTAACAAATAATATACAAATCTACTCACTTTTACTTTAACAAAAAGCTAAACTGAGCTCTTGAAATTTTCGTTATAAGAATAATTATGCATATTTGCACTCTAATCTGAGTCCAATTGTTCACTCTTCATGTAGAGCATTTTCTGTATTTGTTAGCAATAAAGCCGGTGTGACTTTTACAACAACAAATGAAAATTCGAACTGCAGTAACATTATTAATAATAACCACATAACTAATTAAGCAAAAATAAAATTTCCTATTAGCAATATCGGGAGAGTAATAACAAATGTTACAGTTGAAAAGCAGCTCTGACCTCGCAACCATCATTTAAAATAAAATATCTCTAATCGACATATTTATGTGAAACTTTACAACCGAAATATCAAAAAGCGATTCTCAATTGCCTAAAGCGCATTTCAAAACATGGATTACTTGTTTTCATTGCTTGCAATTTACATTCATTTCAGAGCCGGCAATTTTAACCAGT